ACAAATTAATAAAATTACATGTAGGCAACCAACAGTACAGTTTTTTTAGGGGATTTTGGATTTTAAATTTTTCTGATCTTTTATTGTTTGCAATTAAAAATTTTTAAAATTAAATAAACAATAATAAACAAAGTTATGTTAAACTATTTGAGTTTAATTCAGAAAAACACAAAAAGTATGATTATTTTTGATTAAATGAGAAACTCAGTGTTAAAAATTACACAAATTTCTACAAAAAAATTATAAATAAATAAATAATAATTTGTTTGATGTTTGTAAAACTATAAATACAAAAACAGTAATAATTATCATTTAAATGTCATTAATTTTACTTTAGTTTATGAAAGTTGTGTAGGCAACCAACAATACAAACAGAACTTTTCGACATGAAAACTTATTTATTTTCCGGATTTGACGCTTGAAAAACCTCTCAATGTAAATCGTTTTTTGTGTAAAATTGTCTCAAGAAACCAAATATTCTTTAATTTTTTTTCAAGTAATTATTCCAAAGTTATGATAAAAAATTACAATCTTTAAAAACAAAAAAAATGTTCTATTGAATATTTTACTAAATAATTTGTTTTCTTTTCTCATGTAAATAACCGACGAAAATGGGATTTAAGAGAAACAACATTTAAATAAAGTAAAAAAAGAATTTATTAAAATAAATGACATTAAAATTACAAAAAGGGGCTAATTTCGGCAGAAATTTTCATGCAGCGTCGAATACAACTTCTTGGCTTTGATGGGCCCCAATCCGGGGCACTCTGCAAGCTGAAATTCACTCGCTTTCACAATCCCTTCCAGAGTTTTAAACCTCGCAATGAGATTCATCGCATCAGTCTTATTAATCGGTTTTATGGCCGTTAAAACTTGGAGCAACTGAAATTTCCTGAATTAACGTCTCATTTTCAGTCAAATTTCCCTGAAAATACCCTAATATACGGCGAGGATTCGCCCTTTTCCATGATATTATCAGGCGGCTTATTTTCATAAATTTTATACGTTTCGATTATTTTCCCGGCTTCTTCAGCACTCCACGCCAGAATAAGGGTCAAATCAGCCAGGATGCAAACCCTAGTGAGGTTTTTCAACAAGTGGTGGGGGTCACTCACATCAACCTGTAATTTTGGTTTAAATTCGACCAAAAAAGTGGTTTTTTGACCTGGACTAGTAACACCCGGAGTTCGTACATCTTGCCCAACTTTTTTAACCTCTCGTGGATGTAATCCGGGTTGAGACTGTGGTACCGGAGGGACAGGAACAGGGCACAAGTGGTGCGTCCCATTTGGTAGTCTGGGACAATATCCTCGTACTCCCATGGGACGCTATTAATGGATTTGAGTAATGGGTTGCCCCTTTGCTTGGGACTGACCAACACAGTGTGCGTCCGCGAGGAGGATTTCGACGTTTGAGGGGCACCCACTTCGGATTCATTCTCTACAAATCAAAGAGTTACAAGACTTGTGGGGGTGGGGGCACAAGGGGCACGTCTCGGAGTATCCTCAGGCACAAGCTCAGTCTCCAACTCCGCTGCGATTTCCACTAAAGTCTCATCAAACATTTCGGGAAAAGTGAGGTTAATTTGACATGTGTCATTTGTCACGCCTTGAATTAGTTCTGCCAACCTAACCGACGCTATTAATTGAGTTAATTGTTTTAAAATCGCTATTTGAGGCGAGTGATAACCTCAAATTCTCACAGGGGGGCTATTTAGAGTCGTCCCTAGTCCCCCAGTGCTAAATTTATCGTGTCATTGTCTTAAAATAGTGTAAATTTGGTGTCGTGTGGTTGGCATTGGTGGATTTTGACAGTTAGGGGGGTCCAACATGGCGCATATTGTGGGGCCTGAAGTGGTGAAATACGCCTGCACTTGTGGCCTCCTTAAGCCCATTTCGTTGCTTTATTTCTGTCGCTATTGTTGCGAGCTCCGGTGCGGTTTCTGCGTCTGTCATGAGGTAAGCCCCCACGTGGCCCCACCTGTCTTTTCAGGGGTTTTTCCAGGTCGATTCGCACTTCTGTGGCAAATGTTGTGAGAATCTCCCCTCGTCCGAAGCCCGACTCAAGAAAAACCGATGTGGGAACTGCTACATTTGCCCCTTTTGTCAACAAGAACTCTCGACAAGGATTGGCTCGAAGGGGCCCTCCAATCCCGAGGACCCCAAATCCACGCCGAAGAAAATGTACTACTTGTCGTGTCTGTACTGTCGGTGGAGTTCGCGCGATGTGGGGATTCCTGATCAGGGGGCTGCCACTGGGGCGTGGCCCGAGCGCGAGAATGTCCACGCGAATCGACTCCAGGAGGTGATTGAGGCCTACAAGGCGTTTGTTTTGGCGCAGAAACAGCAAAAGGAGAGGGAGAAGAAGAAGCAAAGGGGGAAGTTTGTGAGCTACACGGTTGGTATCCCTGAGTGGGGAGGGGGGCTAAATTTACTTATTTTTTGTCTTAAAAAAGCGTTAAAAGATAAGTCTGAAAAAAAACTCATTTTTTAACTTAAATTCCCAATTTTTTTTTATATATAGGGTGAATCATGAAAATTTCCTCCCTCGGACGTGATTTTTGGGTCCATTGTATAATTGTGAAAGCTGATTTTTTGTGTTATTTGGGCAAAAAATATTCCGAAATTTTATTTTTTTGTGTTAAAAATTGTTAAAACATCTGAAAAAACTCAATTTTCCCTAAATCAATCAATTTCCAAAATTTTTATATACAGGATGAGTCATGGTAAAACGTCCTCGGACGTAATTTTTGGGTACATTGTATAACTGTGGAAGCTGAATCGACGGAAAATATTTTCAGTTACAATGAAAAAAAAAAAATTAGACCAGGACCGTATTTAATTTTTTTTCCAAAAATGATATCTAAAATTTTTTTAATTCTTATTTGAGCTGAAAAATATTTCCAAATTTGATTTTTGTGTTAAAAATTGTTAAAACATCTGATTTTCGACCAAATTGATCAATTTGCAAAAAATTTTTGTATACAGGGTGAGTCATGAAAACGTCATTTTTTGGTACGTTGTATAACTCTGGAAGCTGAAACGATTAAAAATATTTTCGATTATTTTTACATAAATACTTTAATACTCAAGGACCGTACTTAACTTATTTTTTTTTCAAATGACATGTTTTTTTTAATTTTGAATAGGCCGAAAAAAAAATTTGAAATTTTTTTGTGTTAAAAATTATTTATCCCTAAATTAATTAATTTCCAAATTTTTTTATATACCTACAGAGTGAGTCCGGTAAGTCCTTAGACATGATTTTTTGGTACGTTATTGCTCCAGGACCGTACTAACATTTTTTTTTCAGCTCTTGTTTAGGTAGATAAATATTTTTTTCTATACATATTTTTTTGTGTTAAAAATCGTTAAAACATAAATCTAAAAATATAAATAAAAATAATAAATTATTTTCCCCTAAATTAGTCAATTTCCAAAAACTTTTTATATACAGGGTGAATCATGAAATCGTCCTCGGACGTGATTTTTTGGTACGTTGTCTAATTGCTAAATTGACTAAAAAAAATTTGAATTATGTAAAAAAAAATATTGTTCCAAGACCGTATTTGATTTTTTTTTCAAAAAACTTCTATATATTTTTTTAATTTCTTGTTTAGGCAAAATGATTTTATCCAAATTTATTTTTTTTGTGTAAAAAATCTTAAAACACAAATCTTTGAAAAAAGGTAATATTTTCCTACATTAATCAATTTCCACAAAAAAAAATTATATAGAGGGTGAGTCGAAATCGTTGTCGGACAAGATTTTTTGGTATGTTGAATAATTGTGAAAGCTAAATTGACTGAAACTTTTTTGAATTATGCAAAAAAATATTGTCCCAGGACCGTATTTGACTTTTTTTTTCAAGTAACTTCTATATATTTTTTTAGTTTCTTGTTTGGGCATAATAATTTTACCCAAATTTTATTTTTTTTTGTGTTAAAAATTATTAAAACACTGAAAAAAGCTCATTTTCCCCTCAATTAATCAATTTCCAAATTTTTTTATACACACAGGGTGAGTCATGAAAACGTCCTCGGACAATTCTGACGTTATTATCAACACTACAAAAATGATTTTTTGTTACGTTGTATAATTATGCAAGCTGAATCGACTGAAAATATTTTACATAATGTAAAAAAATTTCTTGGGCCAGGACCGTACTTAACTTTTTTTTTCAAATGACAACATGTATTAATTTTTTGACGTTCTTGTTTGAGCGATGAAATTAGTTTAATTATTAAAGAAATAATTACTCCAGGACCGTACTTAATTTTTTTTCAAAAGGCAACATTTGTATATTTTTTTTAGTTCTTGTTTGGACAAATAAATATTACTCTAATTTTATTTTTTTGTGTTAAAAATCCAATCTTTGAAAAAAGTTAATTTTTACCCTAAATTAATCAATTTCCAAAAAAAAATGTGTATACAGGGTGAGTCAAAATCGTTGTCGGACATGAGTTTTTGGTACGTTGTATAATTGAGAAAGCTAAATTGACTGAAAATTTTTTGAATTATGTAAAAAAATATTGTTCCAGGACCGTATTTGACTTTTTTTTTCAATTAATTTTATATATTTTTTTAATTTCTTGTTTGGGCATAATAATTTTACCCAAATTTTGTGTTAAAACCAATTAAAACTGAAAACAACTCATTTTCCCCTCAATTTACAATTTTTTTTATACATACAGGGTGAGTCATGAAAACATTCTCGGACAATTCTGACGTTATTATCAACACTACAAAAATAATTTTTTGTTATGTTGTATAATTATGGAAGCTGAATCGACTGAAAATATTTTACATAGTGTAAAAAAATTTCTTGGGCCAGGACCGTACTTAACTTTTTTTTTCAAATGACAACATGTATATATTTTTTGACGTTCTTGTTTAGGCGATGAAAATAATTTAATTAGTGAAGAAATTATTACTCCAGGACCGTACTTAACTTAAAAAAAAAAAATATTTGGGTGTAGGACCGTACCGGGGTGACGGCCGCGGCCATCCGCAAACGCATCGGTCTCCCGGCCGAAGTCCCCAACACTTACTACCGAAACCGTCCGAAGCTCCCCGAGCCGGCAACCCCTCGCGAAGAGGTCGAGGATTTCCCCGAGGAGCTCCTAACCAAATCCTTGAACCTCCTAGAGATCACAACAATTGAACAACGCCTCCTCCAGCCCGATTTACAACCAACAACAGTCGATAAATTATTCCCAATACATAAACAACTTTCGATTAAGCGCTCACTCAGGTGTCGCTCGTGCGAACACAACGTCAGCAAACCGGAATACAACCCCAACAGTGTCAAATTTAAAATCCAATTATTTGCCTAGTATGTCAAATTTTGCAATTTTTTTTGAATTAACCTAAAAAAAAAATTATAGTTATCACATTCCGGAAGTGCGAATTGTGACAGTTGAGCCGCTCCGGGCGGGAAAACCCGCTGAATTAATTTTGAAATTGACCAATCCGACGCAACACCAAACTGTCATTACTTTCCTCCCATTGGATCTGACGGTGAGGGGCGGGGACGGCGATCGAGAAGTGGGGGAAACCCAATCATTGAGCCTACCTGAAGTAACTCATACCTTGACAATTATAACAATTATTAATTTGGGATTGTAGAAGCAGCCCCCTTCATTGGGGGGCCAACCCTCGAGCCTCCTAAGTCTCTCCTCACGTCAACCGTCAATCACAATCAAGCCACGCCCCATTTTCCAATCAACCAATTGCCAAGTGGCTATACCTGGAAGTAAGGTTATTCTACCACCGCGAGATGACGCTGCTGAATATGACGATTCCGGGGATTCACATAATATTCAAGATGACACCAAGTAAGAATTAGGGTGTTTTTTTAGGGGATTTTAGTTTGTGGGGTTGTAGACTTGTTGTATGGAGGAAGTCGAATAAGGTATTTGTCAAGTTGGTGGTGACTCCTGATGATGGTTTGGAGTTAAATACCGAAATCGTGGCCGGTTTTACAATGCAACATATTTATACAAACACGATTGCCACCACTGTGGAAAATAAGGAACCAGATCGACATGACCATAATGTTAGGGTTTTTCTGACCTTGGGGAATTTGGTTGGGTGTGAGTGAGGCTTTGTACGATTTTCGCTATTATAAGTTATAAAACTTGCTTTTGTATTTATTCCATCATTAATAATTAATAAAAATGTATTTTTTTTTTCTAATAATAAAGGTTTTTCTCGTATTTGAGTTTGATTTTTTTTATCATAATTTTCCAACTATTATGTTTTGATATTTGACACTGAAGTGAAGGATGACAGTTTTGACATTTGGCATAAACGTGAAAAATTTGACAGTAAATGTCAAATTTTGACAGTTGTGTCATTTAACAATTGACAACATAAAATTTAGAACTAAAACTTCACTATAGTTATTTTGAACAAATAAATTTGATTTAAGGATGGACAATAATCGAAAATGTCAAATTTTGACAGTTTGACACTTGACAGTAAAGAAAATTAATTGACGTTTATTTTTGAAATAGTTATTTTTTTATATTGACTAAAATTTAAAAAATTTGGAACAAAAATTTAAATTATTTTCTTTTTTCTTGTGGAATAATCTAAATCGTGTTCTGATTGGTCGGTTTTTAAAGTCGCAATTGATTGGCCGACGATCGAACAATGACACTCAACTTTAAGTCTTGTTCGTCCAATTGATAATTTTTTATTGGTCTAATAATCGCAAGTGCATGATTCATATTGGCTGTGGGGTTGGCTCCGCCCATTGTGCAAAATTAAGTCCAATTATGAGACATCTCAGACTAAACGCTGATTTGTTACAAAAATTCGATTCAGAATTCAATAATTATTCAGGATTTTTTGAGTGGGTGGAGTTACTTATCGTTGCTAGGTTTTTTGTCGGATTTCGGCCAATAAGAAATAAAAACCGGTTTGTTCTCACGATAGTGGTAGTTACGTGAATGTGAAGTGATTATCATTGGCTCTTGTAACTCGACCAATAATTAGCAAATGTTTTCAACCAATCACATTCAAGATTATGCAAAACCTCACTGATTGGTTTTTTAATTTAATTCAATTCAAATTTGGTGTGAAATGAAGGCAAAAATGATGAATTTAAATTCATTTTTCCGGTGATGAAAAATAATTGAAAAAGTTTAGATACGAGAAAAATTTTTTTTCCTAGTTTCGAATGATTTATAAAAAATTTAATTTAAATTTGTTTCCTGAGTTGGCATAAAAAAATTCAAAACCTCACCGATTGGCCATAAAAAAGTGTTTCAATGCAATTTAAATTTGCTTTGACATGAACGAAAAAATGACAAATTTAAATTAATTTTCCCAATCGGCCATGAAAAATTAAAGTTAGATAAGGGACTATTTCGTCTTTTTTTTTCTTAGTGGGCTCCAAAAAAGAAAGCAGATTGATGAAAACATCAATATGACATCAAAAAATGATAAATTTAAATTTGTTTCCTCAATTGGCTTTGAAAATTCTAATTTTTTACCAGCAAATTGACAATATTTGGACAAATGATGAGTTTAAATTTAATTCTTCATTGAGCAATGAAATGATATTATAAATCGTTTTATTGATAAAAAATAAGGATATTTTTACTTTTCTTATTTTTTCTAATAAGAAAGGTTTTTCTCGTTTTTGAGTTATTTTAGTATAACTTTGAAACTACTAATCGTAGAGAAGAAATAAAAACAGAGTTGAAATCCTGAGACATTTTTACATAAGATACAAATAATAATAAAAACTTTTTCAAGGTGTAAAAACTGGGAAAAGTAAACTTTATTATAAAAAATAAAATATTTTCGAAAATATAAGTTTTATTTAAAAATTCTTGCAAATTTGAATCCTTTGATTGATTTTTACATATAAAATCAAGTTTTGATAGTTTCTGAATTAAAAACAAATTTCCGTAATTAAAACTTGATTTTTTAACTATAACTTTGAAACTATTAGTCGTAGAGAAAAAATAAAAACAGATTTGAAATCCTGAGATATTTTTACATAAGACACAAATATTAATAAAACGTTTTCAAAGTGCAAAAATCTGGAAAAAGTAAGTTCTTACAACAAAAATCGCTTACTTTGTATTGCTGGTTGCCTACCTCAAAATACAAAAAAATTATTTATTTTTCAAATTTATCAATGATAGATAAAAAATATTTTTGCAAATTTGAACTCGTTGCTTGATTTCAACATGAAAAATCATGTTTTGGTAATTTCTGGGCTAAAAATAAATTCCCTAATGGGCTTAGTCGTTAGTTTTTTGTTAAAACTTGAATTTTTGGCTATAACCTTGAAACTATTTGTCGTTTAAAAAAAATTAAAGCAAATTTAAAATTCTGAGACAAGAAAAATTAGAAAAATGTGAGGTGTGTGTATTGTTGGTTGCCTACCCCATAATAAAAAAAAAAATGTTCAAAATTATCAGTCGTAGTTGAAAAATTCTTGACGATTTGATTTTTACATACAAAAACAGGTTTTCTTGGTTTTTGGGTAAAAAAACATTTTTTTTATTATCATTTGATTTTTTAACTATAACTTTGAAACTATTAGTCGTACAGAAAAAATAAAAACAGATTTGAGATCCTGAGACATTTTTACATAAACACGAATAACAATAAAACCTTTTCAAAGTGCAAAAATCTGGAAAAAGTAAGTCTTTACAACAAAACCCGCTTAATTTGTATTCCTGGTTGCCTATCTCAAAATACAAAAAATGATTTATTTTCCAAATTTATCAATGATAGATAAAAATTATTTTTGCAAATTTGAACTCGTTGCTTGATTTCAACATGAAAAATCATGTTTTGGGCTAAAAATAAATTCCCTAATGGGCTTAGTCGTTAGTTTTTTATTAAAACTTGAATTTTTGGCTATAACCTTGAAACTATTTGTCGTATAAAAAAAAATAAAGCAAATTTAAATTGAGACAAAAAAAATTGAAAAATGTGAGGTTTGTGTATTGTTGGTTGCCTACCCTATAATACAAAAAATTACATATTTCCGAAATTATCAG